TAGTTAAATGTCATTAACAAAGAATAATTTCCTTTATTTCATTAGGGATTTCGAGAATCATTAGATAAATACTATTTTAGAGTTCCGCTCACGACTTTTCAAGCTAATTTCACTTTCTAATAGCACATAATTGATTTGCGTAAATTTCTAGCCTATATGCATCCATGTTTAGCTCAATATTGGTTCAAAACGGAAAATAAACATTTAAAAAAATATATATTATTTTGGAGATTTTTTTAAAAAAAAGCGCATGTTTGACCTTAACATGGAGTATGTCAAAAAATCCGAAATAATTAATATATTAATGATCTAAGAGGATATTAGGCGCAATTGTGCGATAGTAGAGATATCGTAGTTTTTTATGCCGTCTCCATACAAATATTTTCGAAAAAAAATCCACGTGCGTTGTTTGAGATTATAATCCTGAAAGTTCATTATGTAAGGCATATAATAGGTACTCTCCATCGTATCCAAGCAAAAAAAGCGTCAGTTTTGAAAAATAATTTGAATGTCTATGAAACACGATTTTCAGCCCACTGTGCGGCGTCGTGGTGAACGTGCACTGACCCCACGGGCCGATCAACCGGCGGGAGGTAAACCCGGGGGGGTTTTGTGGGGTAGGCCCTCCAGTCTGGAGGGAGAGTCCCCACATAACCCCTGAGTCTCCCTGCGCTCAGGGGTATCTATAAAGATTTCCCCCCGTAAAAAAAAGGTGGCAACAGTACTTATTCGTCACTTTTTTTATTAATGGTTTTGGCTTCGATACAAGTCCTTTGAGCCATGTCTTCGTTTAATTATCGGATACTCAGTAATATTTTCCATTGTGTTGTAGTTCTAATAGATTGTTTTCAATTGCTCTTAAATAACTTAGTTCACTTATTCGGGTTTTTTACATAGTCCTTTAAGCGGCGGTAGTCAATATTTATGTGTTCATTTTCACATAGATCACATTATCTTCTATCACTTTGAACAAAACTTTGAATTCGTAATTAGTGGAATTTTCAGGATAAAGTCTTTTGTAATTTGGTTTAAGTTTTAAGGAATATAGTTCTAACATTCTTCATCATTATTTGTTTTTTCGTTTTTTCTTCATTATACACTTAAAATAAAATTAATAATCGTAGTAACTTCAAAAGCCTTTCATTTCCTTACTCGTCCCACTTCAGATAAACTACAGAGTACCTTATATATAGATAAACTGCTAGCTCCCGAAACGATAATACACAAGTACAAAATGGATTGCAGAAATGCGCGGGTCTTGTATTTTCTAGAACTATATGTATGAAACCGAAGAACTAATTTGAAACCCCAACCACCCAAACCACAAAATTAAACACAAAGTTTACGATACATGGAATCGTATTTCTAATATTATAAAATTACCAGTCAATGAAAAATACATAAGTAATGCGTTATTATAAGAGTCTAGTATTGAACTTAAGTACTGCTTATCTATATACGCGAGAAATCGCAAATGAAAATAAAATAAATATTACGGTGTTTATATAGGATTGCATAAACAGCACGCACTGATAGGAATAAAAGAAACATGCAGAAACTCGTTTATCTCATTCGACGCTCAATCGTACTCAACAAGTAAGAACAAATATTCTATGAACCAGCCGATTGATACAGGAATGCACAAATCGGATTATTTAACAAAAACTTGTTAAAACATGATTGTCCGCGGTCTATTATCTATGAAAATTACCTATCTAGGAATGTTAATAACTATTAAAATGCGAAATTGTGTCTGTTTCCTTTTTATTTGTTTATTTGTGTCGACTTTCATTTCGAAACGGAGCGACCGATTGACATGATTTTTATTTTATTTATTCAACAGAACAGGACAGATATATGAACTACACGGAGAGAAATATCGAGCCGAGTTATAGTTTGAGCAATCTCTTAATTAATATTAGTTGGGGGCGTTATCACCCACTTTAGGAAAGGCTGATGTAGATATATGAAATTATGGAATATATATATATATATATATATTCATATATCTACATCAGCCTTTCCCAAAGTGGGTATATATGGACTTGAGCATTGAGTAGAGTTCTGGAATACGACCCATACAGTGCTTAGAATGGAAAAAAGAGTGTGGCAAAAAAAAAAAAAAAAAAAAAAAAAAAAGGACTTGTCGGTTTTCTTCTTAGAGGATGGAAGTTTTCTTGCTACGCTAAGGCAGGGTCTTTGATTTTTATATGGTCACACTGAACACTGTACACATTATAGCTCTATGCTGTACACGCACACACATTTATTTAAAATGTCAAACATGTGTCATTTTAGAAGCTAAATTTTATGGAGTGTAAATATAATATTGTATTATTACCCGGACACTGGCAGAATTGCCCTCAGTAGGGCAGAAGCCAAAACCTACATAAATTGAATTGTTTTGAGTGTAAATTTAAAAGAAATTCAACTTTGGCGAAGATCGCCATAATTTTTAAATTATTTCTATAAAATTGACACTGACCCAACTCTAGTCGCCACCACTCGGGGGAATTATAATATCACTATCTATCGCTATCCGCAAAGAGCAAAGCATTACGTTAAAGAAGAAGAAAAACATAAGATATTATGTACAGAAAATAATTAAAAAATTTGTAGATGTGTGTCACAGTGTGAATGCGTGAATGTCACAACATGCAGTCTGCATCAGTCTCAAAATTGAAGCTGAACGATCAGAAAACAATCTACATCAAGGTTGATTGGAAAGATAATGAAACCGACCTTTTCCACATTGTAATCGTCGACAGCGATAACAACGCCTGGTCTGGCAGATATTCCCACGAATTTGCAGAGAGGAACAGAAAAAACGTTGAAGAAACCCTTGACCAATACAAATACAATGTGAAGTTGGCGCTTTCGGGGTACTGCCAAAAGTTTCAATATGAACTTAATCATAAACATTCAGAATCTGCTACTTTTGTTTGGAAAAAGCAGTATGGTGATATTGCTTTGCTACAACATGGAGTTGTACCTGTGCATCAGGATGGGATCTCATGTAAAAAGCAAAATCTGATAGACATTTTGTTAGCAGAGAATGCAGATTTAAAACAAAAAATCAATGAATATGAAATGAACAATGGACTCTTGAATGAGGAATTGAAACATAGCAAAGAGGAGTTAGAGAAATTTATCTGTGTAAAAACATCTTTGGAAATATCCCTCTATAGTAAATTTATACAGATGTTAAATAGTAAAAAGAGAAGAATTGATTTATTGGAGGAAAACTTTAATAAAATTGGATAGCATATAATTTACGCTACTATAGTAATGATTAAAACATCCTACAAAATTTTATTGTTATAAGAAACACAAATGTATGTTACAGATGTAGTGAATAAACATGAAACATTGGGAAATCGTAAATTATGAATATTTCTAATGAATAATTGACATCTATCATATTAAAGACAGATGTAACCTATTCTCCATGACGTTTGAATTGACCTAAGAACAGGTCCTTATTGCCTTTTCCATCAAAACAAGGGAAAAATTAAAAAGGCTGTATGGTAGAACCTTAGCCTACCCTAATAGACAAGTGAAATCTTAATATAAATAAAAAATAGACTACATAGTGTGTAGAAATCTTTGTGGCTCCTGAGTTTTCACAAAATTCAATGCTTATTAATTACATCTATATGCTGGACAATTAACATTTTACTTTTTAGTAACAGAAAAACAGTTAACATTCATCATTGCTATGTTTAGTAAAACAAAGTAAAGACAACATAATTGTATTCCTGGAATTGTACAGATATTATCGCAGGAAATCAAACAACATGGCAATAAAAATTATAATTTATTTTATAAAAAATGCACTTCATGTTTGTATTAATTGTATTTTGAGTTTTTTGTAATAATCTAAATTTCAATATTCAAAAAGGCATGTCTATAACACCAAGTATTAATTACCTAATAAAAATAAATGGGAAGCATGGAAGACTCAATGGCTGGCAATAAAAAGGGAACTACGTCCATTTAATCTAGCCCCACACCTTGTATGTATTTAATTCCTCTGTTTTATTAACAAATTAATACTTGATGAATATCTTGTAGACAACACAATAATAAGACAAGTATGGTAGCTTCATTCATACACAGAAGAGCGGTCTATGTGTGTGTACCCCCACCGCGCGCACGGATGCACACAGTTTCATAATTATGCAAGGCGCGCGGGATGACCAGTAGAGCTAGATACTGCTATTCTCGCATAGAGATTGCGCGCTTTGTGTCGCTCTCGCACAAGTCGCGTCCTGTCGTGCCAGTTCTACTGCGCTATGCATCACAAAATTATGCGAATGTACAAACTAACTACAAACTGCGCTTTTACGTTTGTATGGAGTCACCATACTCGACTTATGGTCACTATTAATTCATACATACATGTAGCTTAATAAAACTGAACTTCTTAAATTAGTAGCTTCGTCCAAACAAAGTAATGAATTTCGGTTTGTAGTTGCACGCGGGATTTATGCATCGGTCGTTTGAGGTAAGCTCACGCGGTGGTTTGAAGGGTATACACAAGGCCTTTGCACCCATAGCTGGAGCTTTCACTTCTGTTGCCGGATCGTCATCGGTCCTAGGATATACAAGATTTTCAAAATTTAATATAAGTAGAGAGTATAAGTTTTCTCAACAAACAAAAAAGTATTGAGGGATACGGCAATTATACATGGTATAATCGTCCCAGGCGAAAGTACGTTATATTATTTAACTAGTTATTGATTTGTATTACTCATTATATCAATATCAGTATCTCTTAAATTTACGGAATAACACTTGACGATTACACCCTGTATATGTAATGCACAAAGGATGCATGAAATATGCTATTGAATAGCGCACCACCGTCTTGGGCGCAAATGAACACACAAAAGAAACTAAACTTTTCCACAACTACAGTTTGTTAAAACTACTACAGAACTTAACAGAATATGGATGGATAACTTACCTAGCACTATCAGCTTTGATCTTATCCTCGCAAGGTATGTCTCCGCAGAAGGGTGCGAGTAAAACGTGTTTGCGCTCCAACGCGTCTGTGAAGTCGTCCCACTTTGTCACTAGAGAAATCCGGGCGTCACGTTCCTTTGTAGCTCTGTTGTACGCAAAAAGAAAGAATTAAGATGGAAATGCTGTTGTAATAGTTCTCTGAAGAGGCATATAATATTAGTACTACAATATCAATTATACATATAAACATAGGTGACAGTACATTAGTAGGAGCACGAGGATACTTGGTACTTGGTGTAACGGGCTGGTGTCCGCAACTCGACGTCAAGGCGCCTATTTTGCGTGTGGAGGATATGTTTATCTTTTTGGTCCTTTCGGTAGGTGTATAAGGACATATTACTCTTTGTGCTCCTGACAGTGAAAGCACCCAGTAGCATGAGGAAACGGTCCTTAAAACGGACCTACAATACATAGGCAATAAAATCAATTAAATATAATGAAAATATTTCGTATTTACGTATTTCAAAGTAATGTCGCTGTATGTCGAGGTACGAATGTAGGGTATCGTTACTTGCGCTCTGTTGGAATTTCCAGGCATATTGAGCGGACGACTAAAACCAGATATGGAAACTTCGACACGTTGTTATTTTGCTTTTTAGCCCCTAAAACATTGTTGTAAATTACGGAAAGCGACTTACTTGTCATACATATCATTGTGCGTTTTTTCAAGTAAAGCGCTGAGCTCCTTGGCTGCGCCGGCGCGCTTGAGCGTGAGCTTCTGTCCGTCGAATCTGCGCACCGCCACAACCTCGCCTTTGGCCATGTCTTTTGGACCGAGCTCTACTCTTATAGGAACGCCCTGCGTAATTACAGATTGCACAATCATTACACGTGCTAAGTTAATTCTAGCAGCCCTTAATAAAATAGCTTAGTCTAGAACATTATGTTTATCGGTTCATTAAATATTCTACAATAGTAAAAGCATATTATAGTATCTCTCGCGCCCACTCTTGGTGTCTTGTCGTCCATATCAATACACGGACTTACACCCACAGTGCTCGCGGCCCGACACGCACCCGACCCGCACCCGCTGTTTGAATACATGCAGTCCCCTGCATGTATTCAAACAGCGCTCGGAGCCTTGCCATGCTGAACCTCCCGTCAGGCTCCGAGTGTAGTGGTCATAGTTCCCGTTACTCTAGGCAGCCCAATATGGCTGTAGTGGTTATTCGGCTGACTTTGGTACTTCAAGCAATATAGGCCTCACGATTGCCAAATGCCTATAAACAGAGTTATCTTTGGTTTTAAACGCCAATTTTCTTCCATACCATCTGGGCCTTGTTAACAATGTTAGCTGTATAACGGTTTAGACTTTGATTAAGTGTTATTTAACCAGGTATTTAACCTTTGCGGAAAAACTTACAGCCCTGAGTTTGGCGATCGGTTAGACTAGCTTGTCTAGTTTCCGGTTGTGTTGTCTTTTCCACATTTATGAATAGTTCGTTATCTCTACACCATGTCGCACATGACAACTAACATAGTAAGAAACCTGATACTAGTGATAATCATTTAGTGAATAACCACGAAAGTCTTAAAATCTATATAACATAGTATTATTTCCAAATGGCTTTAATTTATATTAATATTACCTACTTAGTTTCAAAGCGTCAATATTGTACTGTCACTTTAAAATTAAATCGTATATGAATGACACATCAATATAGCAAAATTTTGGAGATAAATTATTAATATAATGCAATTTTCAGATAAAATTTAATATAACGCAATTTTTGAGATAATACTATGTTAGTTGTCAAGTGCGATGTATTCAAAGAAATCTGCGAGATTAGTCAAATAAGTATATCCGATTTAGGCATTTAACCTTAAAAAATACATGCCTTCAGTTCCCAATGGTTGAATTTCCATCCCGGCGAATAATTGTCTCTATAGTCGCCATTACACCTAATTCCGCCCGCTATGAAGTCTTCTACAAGCTGTTGACACGAGTCCATTAACGTCGTGCGTTCCTCCGGTGTACAGGAAGCGGTGATACCACACGGTACTACGATTACTTGGATGTCAGCTATGCGTGGAGGCAGAACTAGACCTCGGTCATCGCCGTGTACAAGAACCATTACACCTGTCACAAGGAATAAATAAACAGCTGTATATTAATTTACATAAAAAAAAAATAGATTTCAATGTGGTATTATAGTCCGAAGTTAATAACATTCGCAGTGGGTTATCCGTTCAAAGAAAGATTATACATTTTTTAGTAGTTCAGTTTATGCTAAATAGATGGCGCCTACTGTTCTTCGAAATGAATCATGATTTTGCTTAGCGATCGGAAAATATTTGTTGCACAAAATAATTGTAACAATGACATATTTAATTAGTAATCTTATTATGATTATTTCCCTTTTTTGTGATTACAAGCATTGACAGTGTTATTCCTTTCACAAATAATTTATTACATTTTACATTACGTGTACAGCAGTCAAGAGCACTTCAAGCTTGCCACTTTAGATCGTTCTTATTGCAAGCGCGGCATAGAGTCGAATTTAAATCTTAAGTGTCTTAACTGACGTCGTTATCACCCTGCACATTGTAAATATTTTTCCTAAATTTTATTCAGAAACTAGATAACTGAAAAATATTCTTAAGCTTATGCTTTTTATACTTCTGTCGTCTTTTATTTTAAATAAATTTCAATGTAAATAGTGATACTTTGGAACGTCTTCAACAGCGACAAACAGCTAAATAATGGCTACACATGTGCTACGAAATTTATACACTATAGTGTTAAGCAACGAACGAAAGATTCAGCTATTGAAAGCTGATGTAAATGATGTTTCATTGTATTCATGTAGGCAAACATACCAATAGTTCTAGTAGTAAGTCCCCAAGAGTTTTGATACACGTACGCCTTTTCGTGTGTATCAGGATCGTCGTACACTATTTCGAACATTTTGGAGAAGTTCTGCCCTAAGTGATGGCTTGTTGCGCCCTGTTAAAAAATATATATATGTGAAAAAAAGGACAAGTTGAATTTAACTGACTTACTCATTTAAGGATAAAATATAAGTCGATTAAATACACCACATTACCTGTATGCCTCTTCCGCTAGCAGGGATATAAGCCTCAACAGTGGTTGTATAGTCACCGCCAGCGAACTTCTCCTTTTCGGTTTTGCGTCCGCGGACCACGGGGATGGCTAGTAAATATTCGTACACTTGGGCGTATAGTTCTGAAGAGAAACGTTTCAATTTAGTTTGCGCTTTCAGTTGAAAAAAATGAAGGGAGAAGGTGTTCAATATATGTATATGTGAAAGATATTTGATAAAATATAATTTAAAACCGTGATAGCCTAATGGTTTATCCCGTCTCTCAAGCAGAGGCCGCGGGTTCGAATACGGGCCCTCGATTTTCTCGGAATTTATGTCCGAAATTTAATTTGAAATTTACCATGAGCATCATTTGCAATAAATAAAATTATACTCGTATAATATACCAGCTATACCAACCCGGCGTACGCGTATATATGTTGCAATGCCACTGAAAATGCGTGAAGCCACCAATCCGCAATAGGGGAGGGTGGTGGATTTATCGATTTAATCTTCTTCTTAGAAGAGAAACGTGCTCACAGTGGAATCTAATATTTTAGAAACTTTTGCGGGCATGGGCGAAACAAATGACGAAAATTTTATCGCAATCGGATGAATAATAATGGAAGAAGACAAACTGTATTTACATCCAATAAAATCGGTTGCAGTGCGGATTTTCTTTTTGTTATGGTAACGTGGGTTGCTGCCAACGAGTACTATGTAATCGATGGTTCCTGCCTATGAGTTATGCTATACATACAAACACACATAATAGCAAATTTACAAATTAAATAACGTAATATCGTCGATAATCACCTTGGAGACGATAATTGGAAAGTATCCGTCTTTGACAACATACATACATACATTTTTTAAGTACACAGACTTGAATTATTAGATTGATTTTCTTTGGGCCATTTTTATCTTGTGCCAAAGCACAGCCTTAGGTTCGAGTCCTGCAGGTCGAAGGAATTTTTCTTTATATTCGATCTTCGTATTAATGATTATAATAAATCTTATAATATTAAATTTCCTTAAAATCTTACCAAGAATTGTTAGCACCTCATCGGCGGCCTCCTCTTTAGTTCGGAAGGCGGTGTGACCTTCTTGCCAGAGAAACTCGCGCGTGCGGAGGAACGGCTGCGGTTGTTTGAACTCCCATCGCTATAGAATACAAATATTTTAATTTTAACTGCCTCCGTAACCGAACTGTTATGATCTGACTACCACGCAGATGTCCCTGGTTCGATTCCCGAGCTGGGAGAAATATTTGTATACAAATGATTGTGTCCATGGCTACCGCGACATAGTGCGCATAGGCTATGTTGAGTGTGTGCGTTATTATTATTAATATTTTATTTATTTATTGAGGTTCATCAGCAATTGTTACATCGATACATGTACGTTTTACATTGGTAAGGGCGTTTAGCTACATGCACAACTATTACAGTGTATTATACAAAGAAAAAGGAACAAACTGAATATAACGATAAAATATGAGAATCAGAATAAAAAATATACATCCTAAATGTAAAGGTTCAGTGTAATGTAAATTTTCGCAATTAATGCTAAGAATACTGCTAGTTTACTTGCTAAGGATTGCCTTGCGGAGACCGGTTATTGAGTCCGAGAAAATATCCAATGATGCTAGTGCATCATTAGATATTCTGTTTTAGACAAATCCATATACAATGATAGTTCATTGACCTATATGTGCACTATACTCATTGTGTAGTCTGGACAGACGGCTGACCGGTGAGTTGAGACCCAATTTAGTTCTTATTATTTATTTATTTATTTATTTAAAAGTGCATTACATGTGTTGTCGTCATAGAAATATACTTAAGAATATACTTATACATTTACATACACATGAACCTTGACAGGCATCGCAACTTGGTAGGGAGAGGTATTATTATTATGTGTGTTATTATTTTATGAATATTGCATACTGTACCTAACCTGTGGTAGCCTAATGGTTTGACCTATCGCCTGTCAAGCTGAGGCCGTGGGTTCGCACGGCTGAGTTTTTCGGAATCTACGAGGGAAATTTAATTTGAAATTTACCATGACTTTTTCGGTGAGGGAAAACATCGTGGTAAAATCTGCACGTCGAAGAAGGTTCACATCCCTCGGAAAGCATGTGAAGTACCCAACCCGCATTAGGCTGGCGTGGCGGACTATTTCCTAAATCCTCGCCTGAGAGTGAATGAGTTAATAATGATATTGCCTGCTCAATAAATATAGAAGTAAGATAATTTGCTACACCGCGAACCCAGTGGAGGTTAAATCATGCAAAATAGCAGTGCTTGAAATGAATATTTTTTTCATGGACTTTTCGACACCCCAAATTCTACAAACAAATTAATGAAATAAATAACACAAACGCAACTACAGTCACAGATACCGACACAAAATATACCCGACAAGTGTTTCGCCTGCTCACGAGGCATTCTCAGGGGTTATTGATTTTTCAACCCTCGACTGAGCGTCATGTTTATTAACATGGAGTTCCGCAAAGTAACGCCTTAATCTATTAATTACATTCCTTACTCTTTTTATATTAAATTAAAGAGCTTGTCGATGTATTAAAGACCATTCTGTTTTAGACAAATCCATATACTTAATCTCTTTTTCTACTGCTGTATTTTAATCTGTCAATTGTAATTTCATGAACCATATCATAAAGGCGCTCTTTTTAGTTCTGAATCAAAGTTCTATTGACTATGATACTCGCCACTGAGCTGAAAAATTTCATTACAGTTCTGTACACAGAAATATAATAAATATAAGTATTATAGTACTGTAAACAGAACTATAATGAATTTCAAAAAAAGAACGTCGTATTTTTGCTAATAAAAATATCAAATAAGACGCTACTCAAACGCAGGAGGCAATATACCTCCTGATTGGTTAAATTGGCCTAAAAGTCTTGCAACCGGGCCATAAATTTTATAAAAAAATGATTAGTTAAAATTTATGCGGTACTTGGTCAGTTCCATTATATCTCTTTGGTTTTTGTGTTTCGTAGCGTTTGTTTGACTTTCGTCTAAATATATGAAGAGGCTGAATGGTGGAACCTTTGCCTACCCTAATAAATGGGTTAAGCTTTATTTTTTTTTAAATGCGTTTGTTGTCATGGATTGTTAACAAAATATACCTACATTAAATCGTCTTAAGACAGGGGTCTTTAATATCGTAGACAATTCAGAGTACTAACCACGACGTTGTTCCATTGGTTGAGCTTCAGTGGCAGGTCACGATGGCTCTGTATCCAGCGTGCGTACGCGGGGTACATGACTGTCTCGGAGGTGGGTCTCACAGCAATATGCTCGGCTAGTTCTGAAGACCCTGAGTGTGTCACCCATGCTACCTCTGGAGCGAAGTCTGCTATGTGCGTCTTCTCGCGTTCTAAGGCAGCCTGGGACAATTTGTATAAGATCAATATGGGCAACGAAACAAAGACCTATGACGATATTGTTTTTATTTAAAAATATTTTGAAAAGATCATAAAAAATATAAATAAAAAGACATTTACTTTTCCACAAATCTTAAGAAACACAATACTTAAAAACGAATAGAATAATTGAGTGATGTGAACGAAAAAGGTTAAAGACTCAGCATTGCTGATTTTCAGTCTTCTCCTGTAGCTAGCTGTTCGCTTACTGCACCAAGCTAATATGCGGAATGTACATACATCAAGTATATAATAACCTACCATATGTAAATAACAAGTAAGTTAAAGTTTAAAGGCTGTCCGTGCACATAATAGCAAATTTATAAATTAAATAACATAATATCGTTGATAATCACCTTAGAGACGAAAATTGGAAAGTATCCGTCTTTGACGCCGAGGCGTTTGAAATTATCACTCAAGAAGTTGCGTATGCGCTCCCAAATACTGAACGACCACGGCCGCAGAATGTAGCAACCGGAAATGTCGTAGTAGTCGATCATCTCGGCTGTATCAACATAAGTATAAATTATATAGAAGTTGACAAATAATATTGCGTAATTCGGAATTCGAAAGAAATAAATAACAATGGCGAACTCCCATATTAATTTTTTCTAAGTTTGTTGACATAATTTGTATGCGTCTTGTAATGAAAAATATGTGAAAATATAGAGTTTAAATTACTGAACAAATTTGGTTTTGGGTTTACTATTCTGAGAAGTCTGAAATTAAAGATATTCTTATTATTATAGAGATTATTATTATTATACAGTTCGACGTTTCGGAGATTATGTTTTACATGATAGAATAAGATATATTCGGTGTTTATTATATCAAAATAAACTCCAGAAGCCCTAATAGAAGCCGAGTAGTGCCGTGGCTTTGTGACGTGACTAAAGTTCAGAGGAAATTATTTCTTTGTGATGGTATGGTCAAATCGCATGATGTTAAGCCATAACGAAAGAAAAATAATACCATGCCCTGGTAACTCGGACAAGAAATATTTTTTTTTGTGAAACGTGCCATCTATCCGAGAACTGTTTTGTCAGTTTTACCACTTTCTCGCGTGGCATATTTGGAGAAGGAATTATGTACTTTATAATTTTTTAATAAAATAGTTAATCTGTTATTTCAAATCGGTTGAATTTGTACATTTGATATTACGCGAACTAACCTAATTGATGCAGACTTATCTATACGTAGGTATTGAAAATCTTTTTTTGGCGACTAAATGTCGTTCAATGTTAAGTAAATAAGAAACTGACAGTTGTATATATTCGTCCGGTTACATACGAATTACTCATTTGGGTTTCTTTTATATTTTTATTTAGGCCTTTATTAATAATTTGAAAAACCCGTACACCAAATGATTTTATTTTATTCAAACTTGTAATTATGACATTTGAAGACGCCAAATAATTATTTTAACAATTATTTCGCCTTTGTCTATTGACTACAACATTGAAGATAAAATTCAATACTAGCGCCATTTTTTTAGAGTTAATAATAATAAATTTGTATTCAATTTTAAAAATTATTTTCCAATACTACAAGTAAAATGTACCTGGTACAGCCAGTACTGTAAAGTAAACGCAGTAATTTCGTCGACATACCTATGTCGTATTCTTGTTTCGAATAACAAGAATAATGCACCTTAAAACCAGACGTATTATCTGATCTTAAACAAGTGAATTCCCGGGACTACAGAAGATCAAAACCAGAACCAATCAGGATAGTACATTTTCTAAATTGCTCCTATAAATAGAATACCACGGTGAAAACCGTTAGACCACCGAGATCTTATGGATTCATGTACCTGTTTACCACGGTGCAAACTGTTGGACCACCGAGATCTTATGTATTCACGTATCTGATTACCACGGTGCAAACTGTTGGACCACCGAGATCTTACGGATTCATGTCCCTAACAAGGTCGTAATACCACACGTGCACACGCAAAATAAGCGAATAAAAATGAAAAAAGGAAAAAATACTTACATTTGGTAATAACCTGCGAGTACCACTCCGGCAAATCCTTGTCTTTGCTGGCTTCCAGCCCCAATCGAGTGATCTTCTTTACACCGGTAGATGATTCCTTTTTCTCCGGTTTCGGCGACTGCAAGAAAAATCACCTAAAACTTTTAACACTTGTGTCAATGATACATGTAACACAATAAACCAACTAGGAACTGTAAAATTGACGTCAACTTGTTTGACATAGTGTGATTAGTAGAGACTGTTTGACTAGATTTCTTCATGTGCATTGGCTGTTATAGCTTTTTATTAAATGTATTTAATACATAAATGCATACACAAGTCATATATATTTACTTATAAATAATAAAAAATAAATTAATCTTTTTAAAAATGTTTGCAGACTATTTTGAATGTTTCTTTTATTTCATTTTTGATGAAAGATATTACTTTATATTTAAACTTAAATTATTAACCTACTGTTCGCGATACAAGACAAAGTAGTTTGGTATTTAGTTACCTGTTGGGACACCAGATGTCGCGATGAGTACCAAATACCTATTTTTTGCAACTAATTTGTAAATAATTGACGAATTACAATTTATCCAAGCTACTGTAATTTGTAGTGATAACAAACAAATCAACTAGATGGCGCTTATTGCACAGATCTTTTATGGATGCTACCAATGATATTATACTTGGATGTTACAGGCTATTTTTTACTTTGTTTATGATTAGCGCCATCTACCCATACTAGCAAGTGTTAATTTATAAATTAGTTTGCAACACATAATGCACGCATATTTGTCAAAGTTCAAAAAATAATTTAACTCTTGGTCAATATTTGAATAATATTACAAGGAAAGAAACTGGCTTATGTTTCATATTAAAGATTAATTAATTGATGTCCATGTCCTTGTACTCTGTCTTGGAAAAAAAACGAAAAGATAAAGAGTACACCAACAGTGATGAAACCGTTATATTCAAGCAAATAAAAAGAAAGTTTTTTTTTAATTATTTTAATGTTAGTTAAAAAGTATTTTACCGGTTCTTTAGGCTCCTTTTTCTGTTCCTTCGGTTTCTCCTTTTTCTCTTTTAGCTTGGACTCTCTGGGCTGCGCCGGCGGAGCGTACGCCGTGCCCGTCTCTTGCTGGTATTTCGTCTTTAACTCTAAAAGCTTCTTGACTTCTGCATCTATTAATGCCTATAAAATAGGAATGAAAACTGAAACCATCGCCGACGACGAATACGAATTACGTCGATAATCGATACTTTCGAATGCAGTACGCAAAAATGAATAAATTATTGTGAATAACATCTCTAAGTACTCCTACATGTGTACGATACAAAAATGTATAACGAAAATAGTTGGTTCAAGTCGCTAATAATAATGCAATTAAGGCAAAGATATGACGTTATATTAAAAGCGTACCTTATCAGCTCTCTTAGACTTGAGGTCTCTGACCACCTCGCCTTGTTTGGCCACTTCATTGGCGAGGGCTGCCGAGGAGTCGCTGCCGTTCATCGCTGCCGCCTAACATTAACAATATAAAACAGTAAATTCACGGCAGCCTTAAGTCCTCAACGCTTCTGTCCAAAAGTTCTATAATGCTATAATATTCTATAATGTTCTATAAATTTAATAAGTGTCATATAGTTAATAAACTTTAATATCAAGTGCAATCCACGACGCCTTCCTAGACCATTTGTATTGAATGTGTATACCAAAAGTACTTTTTTTACAACCTTTCGACGAGAGTGCTTAAATCTTGACGATGATTTAGACATGGATATATTTAATTGTAATCAATCGAATCCACAAGCACCACAGTTTCTGTCTCTCATAGTTATAGTCGTAGTAATTTTATATAAGGTTACAGTTTTATTATGCCTAAAGCACGTTTTTGAAATAAATGTAACAAAATTGTTTACACTCATGATTGGTCATGCTGTATGTACATGTTTAGATTTACATTCTAGAGTAGAACTAGTAATAATGTTTAAGCTTTTGTTAAGGAGTGAATGTAAACTGTTTTGTACATCTAATACATAAATAAATAAACTGCCTATTTATAAGGAGACAAAAACCGTCAAATACCAAATACGACTGCAGAATGTTATCATGTATTTGATGCAATTTTGTCGTACTAAAACTCGTTTCTACTTCTTTTTATCCAAAGCTGAGCGTGAATCATCTCAAGTAATGGACCAGACCACCACACTAGGGAATTCCTTGTACTATGATTCCCAGAGCAACGGAATGTACTCTGCGGCACTTAATATCCACACCTAATTTAAAAAGTTTATTTCTCAATTTAGTCCTACCGGAAATCGAACTCAGGACTCCTGATCCAGCGCCTACAGCATAAATGTATGGGCCATCGAGATTGTCAAATGCCATCCATCTCGTGCTTTTTTTTTCGGGCCTAGGACTTTACAAAGGTTCCCGGTTACCTTCCCGTATTGTCGCACACAGGTTGGCGATGGACTGTGGTACACCTAACTTTTTTTTTCGATGAAAACAATCATAATGACACGTTCAACTACGCGATTTATCGTACATTAATTTCGTAATATAAATCCGTTGGTATATATCGAGTTCTTAGGTTTTCGCGATTGTTTACACACAGGAAACGAAAGTATTTTTCCGGATTTAAATCGCGTATATTTCTTTTTTCAAACAAACCGACGTTTCTGGCCCTTTACAGGTCCCATGGTCACGGTTGACTGAGGTGGTACAGTCATCAACCAGTTATGTCTAATATTAATGCAAACCACCCTGTTTTTTCACTATAGTTACAATAGTTATTAATTAAATACCTTATTTTTAATTTTACAAAGAAAACATTCCAATTTACGCTACATTAAGCTTTACAAATTATTTTAATGAATGAATTATTTTTTAATTGAACCTAACATGAACTGTTTTTCTTTCATCTACCATTTTCCTCGCTATAGTGAGGTGAAAAGTTGTGTGTTTCACTCGACAGCAAAGTTGTATTGCGTCTCGTGCCTTGAAAGCTTGCTTCTCTCCTGGTTTAATCTTAGAATCTTTCGCTTGCTCAGGTTTCAATTACAAGCACTCGCGCCAAACAACATCTTTGCAGCCTTGCATAACAAATAACTATTAAAGACAACAATATCAAGTCATTATACCGGCTCAGTTTTCGCTGTGGAAGAAGCGGCGCTTTGTGTCCAATCGGAACCCGTTAGTGATTTGTATTGCGCCTTTAGGTTAAGCAGATTCTTCACCTGAAGACAAAAATATTAGTAGCAATAGAGCTCTTTGTGAAAGAGTTTATCTGTACACATCATCAGTACTGCTACCTTACCCATTTCTGCCGTCAGGCAGTAATGTGAGCATTATCGTGTTTCGGTTTTTTAAGGGTATGGGGGCTGGTGACATTATAGGCACATGAGATTTGTTAATTTATGCCTCAGGGTGACGGGCACAGTGCCCTTCAGATCTTTGCGATTTAAAGCTTTGAGTGGCACTGCAACTGCTGTGGACAATCGTGTCGTTTACCGCCAGACGCACGACTTGTTCATCCCGTCACTTGATATCATAAAAAAAAATAAGAACTCAACATTATTTAGAAGCGTGGAGTGAAGTATAATGTGACAGTCAATTGTGCCAAACTCGTATTATTTTTGAAAAGACCGTCAGTAGATGTTCAAACTTTCGAAGATGGAATTATCGTTACTATGACTACAACATTTGCTCATATCGTTATAGACTTTAATATCCTGGCACAAGGTGTAATATACGTCAATATTTATTCCTTTTATAGTAGCATTATTATTCCAGGCCCTAACTAACTTAGCACAAAAAAGTCACAAGGAAAAAGTAATGTAGTTTTGTAGTTTGTAGTTTATATATATAATTCAGGCTTTTTTTCAAATGCGGTAACACCCCTTGGACAGCATCAACCCCCAGCCCCCCCAACTATGCCCAAGATAGTGATGACCATAGTACCTCAACGTCCACGGTAGACTTGTCAGCTTTCTCGGTCTTCAGTTTGCGTACTTTCTCCCCTTGTGTGGAGATCTGCGCCGAAAGATCAGAGACCTGCGCTGCACTCGCTATGGTAGGTGCAGGGGATGCTCCGGGCTTCCATTCCTGGATGTATCAACGAGATTATTACTCTTTTAAAGAAAGATTATTATTGGATTAAATAGTGAGATACCAACTCTATATTTTCATAAGTAGGTGTTTTCAAATTCAATTAATTTATTCATATCAGACAACATACACCATAATAATAATACATAGAATTTCATTATATTATAAATATACTTCATATAATTAGTAACATGATGTAATTGTACGTATTATTTTTTCCGTACTTTTTGTTTCTTATACAAAACATACCCAGACCAATCGAGTGTATGAATGGGTTACCAAAAGAAAATTTTGATGTTTTGAGATTCTATTTTTGCTTAAGTTGTTTGTTACATGCTGAAACAGTGAACTATACTTAGACATTTGATTACAACTCCAGATGCTGTTATTTTCTTCGAAAACGATAGCAGAAATAAACAACAGTTTATTAGAATATAATAAATATTAAACAGTAACAAATGGAAAATATAAAACAATTTAGCACTGACAAAGAAGTCGCAAACACACGTTCATCACTAAATCGAATACGGTAATTTCAAAGAAAACTAAACTAACAATAAAATTAAATATGTATATAGTAGGACATTTATTTAATCAGGTGGTTTTTATGATGTAACAATATATCACTTGATAGTGTTGTAGTACAGCATAGATCTGCAAGCATAAATTATCATGTTCCTGTGTAGTAAATTGGTAGATAAAGTTCGCGTTATCAATATTGTTACATTGAGTTCTTAGGTTTTCGCGATTGTTACACATAGGAAATGAAACTATTTTTCCGGATTTAAATCGCGTATATTTATTTTTTCAAACAAACCGACGTTTCGGGCCCTTTATAGGTCCCATGGGCAACGACCATTTTACGTGTAACACGATTTTTGGGTTATCAATGCCATTTTTTAATTAATTATATCATAAAAACATGAAAAACTTTATTTCCCTCCAAAAATTTTGCTTTTGTATTCAGGGCAACGAAAAATTTAAATTTGCGTACCGAAGGAAACGTACAAATTTCCAGATTTCTCTTTATTTAAAAACAAAGTTGACAACATTATATTGCAAATCAATAGTATATTTCAACAACAATTCTACAAATTCATGACAAGAACCTAGAAATGTGAAGATTTGCGAGATTATGTAAATACCACTACGTAGCTATGTTTTTTTTATGATACTAAGTTATCGGACGGACAAGTCGTGCACCTGATGGTAAACGACACGTCTATCCATGGCAGTTGCAGTGTCACTCAGAGCTTTAAATCGCAAAGATCTGATGTGCACTCCCTCTCTATTTCACCAACACCCTTACCCTTCAAAACTGTGACAGCAGTATAGATACTATGTTCTACATACTTGCTGCTCATTTAAACAGAAACCAATACTGTCAAACTAGAAACAGAACCTTTTTGAAAATTTGTTACGTAATGTACTGGATTAATTAAGTAAATTTGATGTCTGTCGTTAAGGGTTATTAGTTAATTCTTAAGTAGCTAAGTGTCGTATTCCAGGGGGCCAATCGCGCTAATTGTCAAAGGTTTAACCAAGACCTCCAACCTCGCCAATCTGACACGTTGTGTACATTTCGTATCGCGCTAACTGTCAAAACAAAAACCTAAGCCAAAACTTAGACGTGTGACACGTAACGCACATTTGGTATCGCGCTAATTGTCAAACGTAAAACCAAAACCTAAAATGTTGCAAATTGGTATCGCGCTAAATATTTTGACATTTTAACCTCACATGTAACCTTGGGGGAATAGATTAACCTTTGCAAGGTCAAGGTTTGTGTGGCAGTTAATGGAGAGTAACTTTTCACTACGTTTATCGTATATAAAAGATGTTCCACGGTTACTTAAATGTTTTGGAAAGTGTTTATGAGGTGGATGTGGCCTAAGAACGGGCTTTAAATAAAAGAAAAGCATAGAAAGACGATCACATTTAACATGTCTGAGGAGAAATTCCGCAAACGATATACCGTTTGTCCACGGAATTCATTTCAGGATTGGTGGAAGAACTATGCCTACATATTCTCGTTAAAGGACGGTCTGTTGCATTGGATGTGGAGACAAAGGTAAGGGTTGAGTGGAATCCGAAAGTTCTGTTTTGCATAATAACCAAAATTTCTATACTGTGTAAATCATTATTAATTTTGTTACAGATTTTAATAGCTCGTATAGTTTTTAACAACTGGGGCGTACCAGACCCCCATTGGCAAGTGCTTATCACCCTTTCCCAAGTCAGTGTCAGAGAGGCACAAGCGGTAGCTGCTTCAAATAAACCAGTTATTATGAATAAATATGCAGCTTTCCTAAAAGGCATGCCGAAAGAGATGGTATTAAAAGGCGGTGAGAAAATAAGCTTTACAATGTACATCATATTTATTAGTTCTTGTCTTATTTCCTGTTGTTATTATCAAATTAAAATTACAGGTATAGGTAAAATATGTATAGTTGTATAAAAATATATTACAAGGTTACAATTTATCTCTTTTAACACTTGACTTTATACAACATATCGTCCCCTTACAGTGAAGCCTCACATATGCATTTTCAGTTTGTTTTTACTGATTTTTGTTGAATAAAAATTAATAATGTAATAATATAGTATCTAAAAGAGGTATAATTTAAGTAATTAAAATGCTAACTACACACATTATTGCATTTACTATACTTCACACCATATTTTTATCTTCATCCTAAAAAATTACATAGAAATATGAGGTATTCATTCTAAGATGACGATGTATACCTATTGTAATTGTTTATTATCTTAATATCTAAATTGATGTATACTTTTAAGAGGTTGAAATAAAAAAAAGAGTGTATTTTTAGTTTATTTATTGCCTCAATCTACCCCAAATCATCCTTCATTTCCGGAGCGAGCTTGCTTTTGATTCTTCAAAGAAGTCTGAAACAAAAATATGTATATAGGAAGATTGGAGACCTAAATTTAAGACTGTGCCATACCTCTAATGAGAGTAGTGACAGATAAAGCAGGATGGGTATTTATATACATACAGTATGAAGCCAACATAAACGCCAGAATGTTTAGGGGCCTTTTCAAAAAACATTTAAAAAAATGTTTATATCACTGTGGAAATATAAAGGGGACAAAAGTCTACAGATTAGACCTTCGTTCCTTACGCTCTTTCAGATTTCCACAATTGAACATATCATCAGCAGGAATTAAGAAAACATGTTGAAAACAAACCTGTCATTCTTGTTAAATAGTCTATCAAAAAGGTTAACTGCAGGCACCAACTCGGTAATTGCTTTGCAAATGGCAGCTACGGATTGGGCATGCAGATCATCTGCTTTGGCAGAAATAATAGCTGCCTCAGCCTGCACCCTGCCAGCATTCACTTGCTGTAAGAATGCTTCGCATGCTCGCTGCTCCTCAATGCATAAGAATTCTACCCGGCTCTGCTCCAACGCTCATCAGCTCGCTGTCAACGAAATAATAGATGTGATGGAATAAAGAGTGGGAAAGAATTTGCTCGAATTGAAAGTTACTTTGTTTTTTAATTAATAATAAAGAGTGAGAAAGTTACTTTGTTATTGAATTGTATGTTTGAAGTTATTTTGTGCTAGAGTTGGTGTCCTTTAGGAAGGTTGGTAGGGCCTCTGCCGCAGTCGATGTGGCGTAGATTCTCACCCTGCTTTTCATACCATTCCATACCTGAATAACAATAATAACATCGCATATTATAGTGATATGAGTTCTGGTACAATAACGGTGAGTGATCCACTCACTGTATCCTATTACCTCGCATTATAGCTCACCTTTTGGGATCTATTGCGGGGCCACAAAATAGCCACACACTCGCACCATAGGCGTGCTGATAACACGCGCGAACAACGCCGAGCGAAGTCATTCTCAAGCCAAATCTCTGTGCGATTCGAACTCCAGCAAAGATGGAGCTGGCTTACAGTGGTCGCTCGCCGTCCGACCGCATCCACACTGGCTGAAATACGAGCATCATTATTAATTCTACATTGCTAACATTTCGAAATTAATAGTAGTTAGCGTACCTATTTGATTGTATAAAAAGATAATATTTTATTAAATAGAATATTAAAAAAGGAAAACAATGTGTAGGTACTTGCCTCTGCGTGTTTTATCTACAACAACAACACACTAAATTCAATTAATTTGGTTCAAATCACAACACATATGTTTGTTTACAATAGAATTTAATGACATTTCTTTTACACACTTTTTTAAATCGCTCTTTTATAGACTTGAATTCGTAGATATTGACATTTCAGTGCGTTTTACGGTAAAATTTAGTCGGTTTTAGGAAGTCAAGGCACGTCTCTTAAAATTTAATACGAGGTTATAGTTTGAGGTTTAACTGAGGTTTAGGTTCATTAAAACTGATAGCGCGATTGCATTTTGTGCGTCGGTAGAACCATTAATTAACCAAAACCATAACCTCAAATGTTGTACGGTTAAACCTTGCGAAAATAGCGCGATTGGCCCCCAGAACTCTACTCAATGTTCAAGTCAGGACTCGAGTATCATTTAAAGCACTAGAAATCATACTCAGTCCTTGCCATTAGGGTCGTATTTCCAGTGCTTTAAATCATACTCAAGTCAGTGTTGAGTATTGCAGTGAGCACTGAAAATCAAACTCAAGTCCTTGCCATTAGGGTCGTATTTCCAGTTTTTGAAATCATACTCAAGTCTGCTCAAATCCTGACTTGAGCATTGAGTACAGTTCTGGAACACGACCCTCAGTCTGGTAACGAAGTAAGGTGTAATCTCTGATTTGCGTTCGTTGAAGTCAAACAAGTAACTAAATTTATTAATAGACAAAGAACAACACGAACAGTGTCATCATTAATTGTACAAATAATGTACCAATATTATTTTGTTCGAATCCATCACGTTATTATTTGTGGCTTTCTATTTATTTTATCTATTTACCTGGCCTGTAGCAGCTTTGTATTTGGTCTTCAAGTCAAGTAAAACTTTGACAGCCTCGTCGATTTTAGCCTTCTCCGATTTGGCGGTCTTCAGCATGCGCACGAGGTCTCCTTGTTTGGTGATCTCTTCATTTATTTTTGTTGCATCTTCTGAAGCAACGGCCGATGCTGGTGAGGCTGCTCCGGGTTTCCAATCCTTAATAAAAAGGCATGTTGTTCTTAGCATCACTTGTAAATATTGTAATACGGCTTAGAGCGGTTACACACGGCGATTTTAGTAGCGATGCAGTCGCTACTTGTCTACCTTTACACACACGCGCGCGCGATTTTAAGCAGCGTCGCAAACGCGATGCAAGCGCGCGACTGCATCGCTACACTTGGGATTTTAGTAGCAGTAGAGCTCCTTGTGAAAGAGTTCGCCCAGGGAAGTACTGCCACCTTACCTATTTCTGTCACCAAGCAGTAATGTCAGCATTACTGTTTCGGTTTCGAAGGGTAAGGGTGCTGGTGAAATTACAGGCACATGGGACTTGTCAACTTATGTCTCAGGGTGACGAGAGCAGTGGCAGTGTCCCTCAGATCTTTGCGATTTAAAGCTCTGAGTGGCACTGCAACTGTTATGGACAGGCGTGTAGCTTACCATCAGACGCACGCAGTGGCGGATTTGCCCTAAGGCCCAGTAGGCCCGGGCCTAGGGCGGCCAATCGTGAAAAAACCATTTTAAATGTTTTATTTAAATCTGAAACCTCCGAATCCGAATCCTGAAATCCTCCGAAATATTGAAAACTAGCAGCTAGTATAGTTAACTAAATTTCTGAATCGATTTCGATAAAAGTTGGCAATAAAGTGAATTCATTATGTAGTCTACCAATATATGATGAGTGCCGAGAAAGGGGCGGCTAGTATTGACTACATGAGTCAAGACTGCAAATCCGCCACTGGGCGCACGACTTGTTCGTCCCGTCACTTGATATTATAAAAAAAAAAGATTTATAGGCGATTGCATCGATGTAATCGCACGTTTGTATCGATGCAGTCGCGCGTTTGCATCGATGCATTCGCCTATAAATCGCAAGTGTATAGTGATGCAATCGCGCGTTTCATGAACGCGTGTTTGCATCGCTGCTAATAGTCGCCGTGTATAACCAGACATACACTGAGGGGATATTATGACTTGCAATTATTTTTTGAAGAAACCTCTGCAAAGGATTACATCAACTCATCCGAAGAACAAATTCCGATGTGATTATTAGCAAAAAGAGAATAAGTAGGTACGTTACGAGATTAATTTCGTTATTCAAACTAAGACCTATGTAAAGGTGTTTTGAGAATTTATATATCTTATTTCGTTTCGGAAATGTAAAATCGAACAACTGTCGATCTGACATCCACAGCGATGAAAAACGAACGAAGTGTACTATGTCCTGAAAACAAGTAGACTTGCACATAGATCTTTGTTCTACGGATGAGTCGACATGTATTATAAGTTGATATCGACTGGATTTTTTAATTTAAAATTAATATGATGATGACTGACCTGTCCAGTGGCTTGTTTGTATTTTGTCTTAAGGTCCAATAAGATTTTAACTGCCTCGTCGATCTTGGCCTTCTCGGCCTTTGCGGCCTTCAAGGATCGTACTAGATCTCCCTGAGTACCAATGTCTTCATTGAGTTTATTTGCATCCCCAGAAGGTCCTTTGACTTGTGTTGGTGCTTGGGCTGTTCCAGGTTTCCACTCCTGTATAATTGAAGCAAGCTTTAGATAACCCCATAGATGAGTTTTTTATAAGAGTAAAGAAGAATTAATATTAAAAAACATAGGTATAATAATGCTAATTAAACATAAAAGAGCCGTGGTTGCCTAATTAGTGGTTTGATCTGTCGCCTTTCAAGTACAGGCCGTGGGATCGAATCCACGAACCTCTGAGTTTTTCGGAATGTATGTGCGAAATTTATTTTGAAATTTAACATGAGCTTTTTTGAAACCTGCACGTCGAAGAAGGTTCACAACCCTCAGAAAACGTGTGAAGTTCGCAACTCACATTGGGTCATCGTGGCCTAAAACAATGACTTAAAGGAGATCCGTACCCAGCAATGGCACTTATAAATGGGTTGATGATGATGATGGTCATGAATGCTAATTTATAGTTACCTGTCCAGTAGCGGCTTTGTACTTGGCTTTCAGATTAAGTAAGACCTTGACAGCTTCGTCAACTTTGACTTTCTCAGCCTTGGCTGTTTTCAATGACCGTACAAGGTCGCCCTGTTTAGCGATCTCTTCGTTTAACCTGACTGCGTCGCCTGCTGGGCTCGTGACTTGAGCTGATGCTGGTGCAGATGTTGCTCCAGGCTTCCACTCCTGCCCGACACAATAAAATTCACCGTTAAGTAATCGACACGAAATACAGAATTAGTTCAACCAAGAGTCCTAAGCTGGAGTCCTAAGATCCAGGACTTTCCTAGTTTACGCTCCTGTCTCTCACAACGCTTATATGTACGCTCTGTTCTTTACTGTACTGTACTTTAAAAAAAAATATTGTCGGAGAAATAAATAAATATTATTATTACTTATTACGGAACAATTTATAGTGATGTTTAACCGACTTTAAAAAAGAAGGACGCGATAAAAAACTAAAATGTGTGAATCGATTTTAATGATTATTTTTTTGTTGAAAAGAGTCTCAAGTCTCAATTAAACTTGAACAAAATATTCTAAAAATGAAAACGGATTCGCGCACTTTCCGGTAAGCGATTTCAATAAAACAACTTTTGAGGTGGGTTTTTAAATTGATTTGTAGGTTACTTCATATAAACGTGTGCTAAGCAAGAACCACGCCATTTGTACTAACTATTTATATTAGATTAATCAAGTAATTATTCATAGAAAGATTCCTTCGAACTGAGGGGACCTGGGTCAGTACCATACCCGATCTTGTTATTAATTATTACAACAAACTATATAGGGGAATAATTTCACAAAAAAAAATTGAAATCGTAGTAGTAAAACAACATAATATTCATTACAGTCGAATATTTTAAGTTATTATTCCTAGGATTGTACGGACAACGGCACATCAGACTACACATTTTTGTTCAAAACTCGCTCCAGTGCAACGGAACAAGATACGTCAATGTGTAGCTTGGTGTGCTGGCGTGTGTACATAGGGTGCACTATAAGTTTCTGCAACTGGCCACTTACATAAACAATATTTAAAAAGTAATTACAACATTTGAAAATGGAACTCTTTGGCTGTAGAATACAGTTTGTTTCATCTGACTGTCACTTGTTTTTACATTGTGGCGTCATTTTAGAAATTGGCTACATCACCATGGATTTAACTCGTGAAAATTGGCGTAGTATGATTTTCTACGACTTTAACTGTAATTTAACAGCTCAGCGGATCTTCGCTCGGCTTCAAATTGCTTTTGGCGATGAAGCACCATGCAAGACGACTATTTATAGCTGGTTTGCAGAATTCAAACGCATGAATGTGAATCTCAGTGACGAATTTCGTGATGGTAGCCCATCCACTGCTGTGAACAACAATAACATCGATGCTGTGCGCCATATGAGCAAAACAGACAGGTATGTGACATAACTAATAGTAATAATAATAACGCACACACTCGACATAGCCCCGCACTAGGGAAACCCTGTGTCGCGGGTGCCATGGACACACAAATAGACAATTACAAATTACACCCAAACTCACGAGACAAACAAATGTAGGCCATACAAATATTTCTCCCGGCCCGGGAATCGAACCTGGGACCTCTGCATGGCAGTCCAGCATGGTAACCGTTCGGCCATGGAGGCAGTTAACATACCATGAGATTCGAGCATCTTTAGGCATAGGCATGAGTCAAATACAATCAATACTACACAAACGTTTGGGTGTGAAAAAGCTGTGCTCTCGGTGGATCCCACACAATTTGACCGAGGCTCAAAAAACGGATCGCGTCACTTGGTGCAATGCCATGTTTAGATTCAACGAAAGGGCGTCAAATTTGGTGTGGGGCATAGTAACAGGTGACGAAACATGGATTTATAGTTACGGTCCCAAAACAAAGCAGCAATCGAGCGTATGGGTCTTTCGAGATGAGCCGAAACCAACGAAAGTGGCGCGAGTGCAAAGTGATTGCTTCTTTTTTTAATAAAACTGGACACGTGGCTACTGTTGCTTTGGACAATCGTTGTACCGTGAATAGTGATTGGTACAGAACCATTTGTTTGCCATTTGTTTGAGAAACTTCGTAAAAATAACCGTAAACGCCGTATCATCTTGCACCACGATAATGCCAATTCTCACACGGCCAGACAGACAAATGAATTTTTGAAGGTGAACAACGTTGACCTTATGAGCCATCACGAGTACAGTCCCGACTTGGCACCTTGTGACCTTTATTTATTACCAAAAATTAAGAACCAGTGACGCGATCAACGATTTTCATCACCTGAAGAGGCTGTGGAAGAGTATGAAAAATATGTTACAGAGATTGTCACGGAGGAATGGCATAAATGTTTTCAAAATTGATTCATTCCTATGAAAAACTGCATTATTGATAACGATGAACAATAAATTCATTTCTGACCATTTATAGTATTTTTTCTTATTCATTCCGGAAACTTATAGTGCGCCACACGTATGTAATTACTAAAAAAGTTGTTAGTAAGTTTGTTAGTGAAAAAGATAAGACCTGTCCTGTAGTGACTTTGTACTTGGTCTTCAAGTCTAGTAGGACTTTGACGGCTTCGTCGACTTTGGTCTTGTCTGCCTTAGCGGTCTTCAAAGATCGGACAAGTTCTCCTTGCTTGGTAATTTGATCATTTAACTTGGCCGCATCAGAAGCGCTGGAGGACGCGGGTGTTTGCTGCTTTGTTGCTGTCTGGACTGGTTTTGGCTGCAACAATAGTGAGTGTTTATGTTTATTTGTGTCTATTATTTGATATCACATGAGACGATGATAATGTACTCAGCCAGGATATAGGTGATTTTGTCAAAGGGAGTGACGCATACACTATCGACTAAGCGACTCACGCGCGTCTAACACCACTTCAACATTTTCAGTTACTAAAGTAGGGATGGGCGTTACAAATCGTGTATAGTTATTGAATGTATATATTGTGGCAATATCGAATATCCGAAATCGTGTATTTTAGAAGTTATATATCGATATTGTTCCACACGTATTTTATAGCGATGCCGAATCAGGCAGAGCGATTACCGAGTGCACACCAACACGAAATCATATTTTCCAAACTATATACCGATGTTTCTTCGTATCAGATATTCACTCAGTGGATATAACGCGAAACTGCTTTTGTGCATCTTCGAAACTGTATCCTGTATGAGGGAAGTAAATTTTTTTATGGAAATTATTGTATTCTGGCGAAACGCGTTCCCATCCAATGGTGGCAACGTATCAGGGCGCACGCGGGCTATATCCAATAATATATAGTTTCGAAATCTGATTCCGAATATCAGTACCGGCATTGTATCAACGCAGCGCACACGACAGCTGCATCCATGAATATATAGTTTCAGAAAATATAGAGTTTCGAGATCCGATTTTAAATATAGATGTGTAGTTTCTATACGATATTCAGAAAAAGCTATGTTACCCATACCTATACTAACGTTTGCTAGCTCATGTGGTATTTTTGTCTCGCCATTCATCTATTGTATTACGCAACAAATTATTTTCTCTTTTCTGTCTGTTTTTAATAAACACTATGAAAGGCGGTTTAATTTAGGAAGATTGTCATCATAAACTACCCCCGTGGCCGAACGATTACTATGCTGATCTGCCACGCAGAGATCCCGGGTTCGATTCCTGGGCCGATACAAATTTGTACGGCCAACATTTATTTATCTCGTGAGTTTGGGTGTCATTTGTGGTTGAGTGTGTCCATAGCACCCACGATACAGACTCCCTAGTGCAGGGCGATCAGTGTAGAAAAGAACAGCCCTATGTAGATGTTTATCTCTTGGTACTAGCCCGTATTAGATTTCTACGAATGCTATGAAGATTATAATGTGATATTATAGTAAGTGTAAAAAATTCAATCAAAGAAAAAATAAGTTTTATTTGTATATCCGAAAAGTAACCACCCGAACCAATTGTAGTAGGTATAACCGAATCAATTCCCAATAAGAAACCTGATTGAGAAATTTATCAAATTACTTATTTATTTTTGATACAAAGATTAAAAAATGCGTCAATAATGAATTTCGAAACACTGTGATCCACCTTGCTGCATACATACCTAGTTTTCATAGTTTTAGGCACAGACATATATCTAGATTAGACGCTGCAAGTACAGTAATTTGTATGAAAACCAAGCGTGGCACATTTTTTGTACCCACTTTAACGTCACAAGAGCTATTTAGTGATGGAAACCTCCTTCTGCTCGCTTTAAATCGATTGATTCAACGAAATACATGTAAACACTATTCTTTTTTTTTCTATTTCACGATTCTAAATATAATAATTTTTGTTCAAGTATTTGTTGATTACAAGTAGTCGTAATATTAATATAATAGAAAAATACTAGAATATGATACTTAAGTCCGTTATTTTACTTGTTTATAAAAAATGATGATTACTTAAAAAAATTAAGACTAATTTTTAATCGACTTCAAATATTGAAATTATTGTCCTTCCAATAAAATGAGGTTATATAACATCTTTTTGTAATAGAAGATCTTATCGATTAACTTAGATAATGAATACACACGTCAATATATACTTTATACTTGCGACTGCCTTAATTGATTTTACTAGATGGTTTTCTGTTGGTAATTCATCAAATTGATGAATGCCAAGACAAATGAAAATGTAATTACCAGCTTACCCACAGTTATGGTGCTTTTGCAGTTTGTAATGGCACAATTATGCATTTTTTCGCGTTTTCGACTGGTGTTTATCTACGATAACGGTCGAGCGCGTTCTGAAGTGTAGCAGCGGCAAGTAAGTGAATTTCACTTACTTTGGGCACGCGTAGTACGTACACTTGCGGCATCTATCTAGATATTATGTCTGTGGTTTTAGGTAATTTTCATAGAATTTTATAACACACTATAATCAAGCAGTTCTATTAATCACAACATAATGCTAATAAAACATAATAACGATAAAAGATGTAACAATAATAGATTTAATAAGTTTGTCTTATAAAAAAAATAGAACAACAGAAATGTAAATTTGAAATGAAATCTTCAATATTGTAAAATGTCGTATCATTCAGGTAATGAAATAAGTTCTTAAATTCTGAAAATTATAGCAATTTCTAACTTTACGTGAAAGTTTCATGTAGGCCTTCGTAGTCATTACTCACTTTTGAAGTAAAGCCATAGTCGTATTCTAGATGTGCTACATGTGTTATTTATTATAATTATTATCTATAAATAAACCTTAGAACTTTACACGTGTTTCACTTACCTCCCTGCTTTTATACACTACTCTAGTTTAAAGTTCATTGTTTCTTTGTTTAAAGTTCTTAACTTTTGTTTTGTCAAGCTTTATGACCAGGTTAATTATATTTGAGTCAATCAATTAGGAAATTAAAATTTGTGTTTATGTTTGTTTCATAACCAAAAATTACCGTACAATAGTCGCAAATTCAAATTTCGATATTTTTAGATATCAAAGCAAGAAGTTTATTAACATAACTTGTTGCTAGGTATGTAACAATATGTTGCTCGTGTTTTTCTCCGAACCGCTATTTTGCAAGTGCTGCAGTTACAAATAGCAGGGCAGCATTAATTTCGGTTCAAAACGTAATAATAAAACTTAAGGTGTTCGTAGGTAGCTACGTCGAAGGCATGGTACAATAGGGTATTGTACCTACAGAGATGGTAGAAGTGGTCATTCGAGCCGGATATGATTCAACGACCTAAGCCACTCGAGATTAAAAATTGGGGATAACAATAAGTGTACGATCTCTGTACAATTGTAATGTAAGTCAGAAAGAATCCTGATTGAACCTCTGAGGAGAGCAGAAGTCTCCTCTTGATCTACAATTGTATGGAGATCGTACACGTATTGTTATCCCCAATTTTTGATCTCTAAACGATAGCTTAATACACCTTAAATAAAAGAAATTACGGTACCTACATCGCCTGAACATATTGCTTGTACTTACTTATACGTTATACAAAAATGATAGAATTAACTGACAGATTATCAAAGGGCAACGACCTTAAAGAGGCAGGTATAAGAATGTAAAACAATCCTACTTACCTAATACTTATTGAGTTATAAATTTAATAAATGAAACAAAATGTAAACACATGTTGAAAGGTACTCACTACGCGAAGTAGTGTGACGTGGAACAGGTTACACATTCACTTTCTACGAATTATCTTTAGATGTCAAATACGAAACGTAGTCGTGTTTCGAGTCCATTGCTTCAAAAGTCTTTGAAGCGATTTTATAACAATGTATATCAGACGGCATTGTATTAAAGTGCAGGAGAGTTTGGCGATTTGAAAGTGATAATATGTAGTAGTCGTCTTGTAGACGAATATAATGATATAATATTTTAAAATACATTATTATGTTAAGTATACACTAGATTGCATGCATACATTTTCTTATCATTAATGGAAATGAAAACTATGTGACGTAATATAATCGACGCCGGAAAACGATCTTGTCGTATCTCGAAAAATAGGACTTCACAACAGGGCCGAAAAACTATTTCAAAAAATAATTTCTCTTTAATTTGAATTAGTAGAAAGTAAATTTTAAAGTATGATGTATATAATCACAGTTTTTAAAATTACTTTATTAATTAGTATTTTAAATGGTAAATTATTTTTGAAAACGATACTTATATGCATATCGATATAATAGCTGAGCCAAGCTTTCAAGGCAAATGTACAAAGTGTACAGAAACAAGCATGACTAAAATTAACCTTAAGAAAGAGTCATTTTAACCGACTTTAAAAAAAGGAGGAAATTCTCAATTCGACTGTTTTATTTTGTATGCTTGTATGTATGTTACGCGATAAATTTGTGAACCGATTTTGATGATTTTTTTGTTGGAAGGTGCCTCAGTATTGGTCCCATTCAAATTTGAACAAAATATTCCATCTCTAAGGGCACACTTTCCGGTAAAAGATTTCAATAAAACTTGGCAAATAGAAGTAATTCCATGAACTTTCAAGGACGATTTAAAAAAATAAAAAGTTAATTCTTCACATAAATAATAAACTCTTTATTTATTTAAGGACTTTGATCATTATTGTACTTGTCAGCCCCATTGGAAAAACGATACATCAAGAAAACACTTAATAATCTAAAATAAGACAGATAAATGAAAATACTACCTAACCGGCACTACATTACATGTTGGCTCCGACAAAACGTATTGAAACCACCCAACGTTAAATGTACGGAAACCAATCTGTGCAAAAAACCGTACCCTGTTAGATTCGTTCGAACGCACTCCATGAGCAAATGATGACATAATAATGTGTATGAAAAACAATTTATTAAATTTAACCAACTCCTGCTGTCCCGATTTTTTTCGTCTCATACAATGAAACTGAATCGATCAACACTAAAAATTGATCAATTCTATTCATTTGTATGAATACATACAACTCATACTTAACCAAATAATTGACTATGTCATTACTATGATAATTGACTATGAAAGATAATTTTATTACTTTATTTGTAGCAGTTTTATTATCTGTAAACTTATTGTTAGCTCTTAAAGTAGGTCAACTAAAACCTCCCTGCGTACGTCATATTAAATGTGTTTAACGTTAACATTTTGGATATTTTAGTTTTATTTTTTTAAAGTTATTTATGTCGATTTACTCATTAGGTAACGTACAAAATCTCGCTGATGTCCCGAAAACTTCAATGTCCCGAAAACTTTAAAAATTATTATTTCGGAAATTATGCGCAGTTGGTACTTGAGTTTTTTGTGGAATTGGTCTTAATGTGCGGCTAGGTTTTAAAGCAAGTTGCAAATCCAACTAATATAAAAAGCCAGAAAAAAATTAAGTAAAAAATGACTAAATGGCGATTTACTCGCAGCCTATATGTGCCAACACGGCCGCGCGGCCAAAAACGGTATATAATATGCCTACAAGTAAATCCTTTCAAAAAACAATCTAAGGAATTACTTAGCTGCAACTACTTGGTCATTAGAATTTTATTTTCAAAAAATATCAAATACGGGACATAAATAAACGAAACGTTTTCTCTGGTTATTTTGTTAACAGGGACATGTTCGATTTTAGGGTTAAAAGCTCGCTGTGGGGCGTCCCAATTGTAGCCATTCGAACAGATTAAAAATCAATTTCAATTCTTCAGCAGAGGTACGATTTTTTTTCATGTACGCTTAGTGAGGTATAAATAAACATTGGATAACATCACCTACGTTGCCCGATCCCAAAGTAAGTAGCTAAAGCATTTGTGTTATGGAAATCGGAAACAACGATGGTACCACAAACAGATCCGAGACAATATAGACAAGTTAGTTTTCTACACTGACCCGGCTGGGAATTGAACCCGGGACCGCTGAGATGGCGACATCATGAAAACCGGTGTGCCAGCCACTCGACCACGAATTGAAAAGTGATGAATGAAGGCTGCTTGCCTGTATTACTTCCGATAATCCAATGCCATTTTAGTTGTTACCCAGCTGTGGGACGTATAAATGGGTTGATGATGATTGATGACACATTTTTCAACTAGTAGGTAGCATGAAAAATTATTCACTTACGATTCGGGATTTTTTAGTTACAGATTTTTTTTTTAAACACTGATTTGAAATACGCTCTCAATGTGATCATTTTATTCTTAGGGTTTTTTTTATTTTTAGGTTCTGTTTTATTCATTAACTTTAGTGGCACCTTGCGGTCGGGGCGTTCAGTCTGCTCCCGCCTCAGATTCATTGAGGGCGCCTTAGATTACGCATGTGTTTATGGTGTGTACTGAATTCTTTGATTTTTTGCGATCGAACTCATACATAACTCACCCGATTGTGTTAACGCGACACAAAATTTTTTGACGAAATTGTATTTGTCATGTAGGTGAGTAAAATTTGTCTGTCAGCCGATGCAATGTCAAAAAAAATCGAAAACATTTGAATCAGGCGCGTACAGAGTAATTAAAATTTTCTAATCGTTACTCACGGATAAATCGCTATTTGTTTAATGTTAATACAAACACGGTGGAAGAAAGGTATTCGTACGATTGTTAATAATATTGTAACAAGTTCGATCTATGAAATTTCGCTTGATTATGTATTTTCAATAATTTATTTACATGGCTATTTGTTTTAATAATTTTAAGCAATTTGGAGTAGTCACTTAAAACGTAGGTAAGGTAATTTTAAATAGAATAATGGAATATCTACAAAATTTGAAAGACAGTTTAGTTTGCATTTTAGTCTACCTCCAAAGTTTTTATTTTCGTTTCAAAGGAAATTATTTTGTTGATATTTGCTCTTTATGTAGGTACATATTTATCAAAAAAACGATTACTCGTTACTCAATAATTGGCCCCAGTAATTTGCGAAATACGTACTTTATTTTGCATAAACATGTAGGCTGTTATTTATGTGTAATTACGTCACTTGCGCCTAAATCTTTCTAAATGCAGTAAATGCAAGAAAACTGTAATACAATATTAACAATCAACACAGCCATGAAAAGTTATCTACCTAACTGAGTTTTATTGTTATAATTACTTGTGTAGTGAAATGTTATAAGATTATATTACATATTTCTAAGAATCCAATTTATGTATTACAGTATTTTTACTTAACAAGCCAAAAAAGAATAGTAATGTATTTCAATGAAAATTTGCTGTAATGGACAAACAACTCAAAATAAGTGAGCCTGAAGTTGTAATAATCAATTGCGATGATGACAATACACAATTGGTGCCTAAAAAGAAAATGATAAAAGGTAAAAGACAAAAGAAACGTAAAGTTCAAATTGATTCAACGGATAACAAAAGGCTAATAATCACTCAAAAAGTAAAGAAACAAAAGTTTCAATGTATTATAAACCTTACAAACATTTGCAAGCACAAATATAAAAGTAAAGTCACCTTAGATTCTTTTATAAATAAAAAAAATAAAAAGGAATGTGAAGACTTAAGAAGCAACTCCATTTTGGAACGAGTGCCTCCTCGTTGTATGAGAAAAGGTTGTCAGTCTGCTAAAAAAAGTAATTACCATAGTAGACAATCAAAGAAGAGGAGCACTAAAAAAGTTAGTCATATTTTATTTATTTAGCCAGAGTATTGGTCTTACTAAAAAGTTTATTAATTGTCACTATAAAGCCAGTGAAGCCAGCTGAAGTCTTGAAACATGCATGTTGGAGAAGAGTGCATGTAAAGGACAACCTTCAATAGGCTAGCATGAAGTACTGTACCAAGTAGTGGGGTGTACCTAATGAGTTTACATTTATGAAGGTCCTTCAAAGTGGTAGTCAATGATTTTTGGCGTTAAAGTTCGTAGTGTTGGGAGAAGAAAATAGTTCTTCAAAAAAGTGCAATATGGGCTCATTTTTGTCTTATCCATCCAAAGATACTCTTAATACAGGTTTAATTAGAAATGTTATTGAATGTAAAATTATTAAGATTTCTCCTTTTTTTTATAACACCAAGTGACGGGACCTGCGCCTGGTAGTAGTAATTCAGAGCTTCAAATTGCAAAGATCTTATGGGCACTGCCTCTGCGCCCGTCATCCTGAGAATAATAAATAAAGAACACAAGTTGACAAGTCCCGTATACCTGTAATTTCACCAGCACCCTTATGTTTCTAAACACATTACTGCTGGGCAGCTAATGGGAGCTTTACTATACATGAACAAAATGTATAATATATTTTGGATCTAAGTACTTATAAGTACTTTTGTATCCTAATTATTCCACCCTACATTGTTTTGTATCAAACCATCATTTTTGCAATACAATTTACAACATTATTTTCAGGAAAATTTAAAAACCTCTATACATAAGAAAAACGCATCTAACAGAATACTCCTATCGCCAATTTCTACAATAGATTTGAGTGAAGAAATATCTACAATTTCATATGAAAATATCAGTTCTGACAGCTTTGTAGAATCTGAAAATGAATTGGAAACTTTGATCAAGCGCACCAGAGATGTAAGTTTCTATACTTCATTGCTGCTCTTAGAAATTGTAAAATTGCTATAACAATTCATATCTTTAATCAAACATTATATTGGCTGTAGGGGCCAGGGAGTTTTAAATAATATGGTCCATGTAAATATATAGTTACTATGGAACCCTGACATCATGGCATTAATATTTAACTGTGCCAAATATTACAACGATCACCTGGTTTCAAACTAAGGTATTGTACAATGATTAGGTAGCACACTCTGATACCTAATCGAATCCAGGGACTTCTCATATATGTTGTCGAGTTCGTCAAATTATTGCACTTTACCATGTATTGTTATTAATACAAATATAATTTAAAATTGTGAAAAATGTTACAATTTTGTCAGCTTTTAGCACATAATCCCTTGTGTTTCTTTTTTAAAGCGTGAAAAACAACTAATAATGACATTTGAGAGCAGTTCACCATTACGGGGAAGCCCACATCTCGTGGAAATTAGTTCCGAAGAAGACAACATTAAGTGCAGTGAAAGTGCCTCAATACATTCAATTGCTACACTTGTGCTTGACCCACATTCGAACTTATACTCTCCTACGAACCCTAAAATGTGTCCTATAGAAAATTATTCGTCCACACAGATTATTGGTAGTCCAAACAAGTGCAACAGAAAACACAGATATTCAAATCCTATAAACATGAACCCAGAAGTATATACAAGTAACATGAAAAATGTTACTTTACACAAGTATCCTGTTTCAACAAATACACAGTGTGTAAGCCCAGAGAGAGATGTCTGCCTGAAAATAGAGCATTATTCTCCAATTATAGTTCCTACTAACATTGAATGTACTACAGGCAACTCTTTTGATATAAACACTCCTAAGTGTGAAGTTTTATCTCCTACGATAAAATCGAATTTGGAACAAAAAATTTCCTTTTATTCAGCAGGTACTGAACCAAATATAAAGAAGGAACCTTATTCCCCTGTTATAAATTATTCAAATATGTATTTAGGACCTTTCTTACATACTGATAGCACTTCCCACGTCTTTCAAAACTCCGACCCTTTTGAAGGAAATGCCAAATCAATATGTTATAAGTTGCTAGATGATAAGACTGAAGACTGAATCATAAATTTGCCTCTAATGACAAAAGATAGCTAAGTGTCGATAACGTACGTCGAGTTGCGGACACCAGCCCGTTACACCAAGTACCAAGTACAACGTACAAGATGTACTTAAAGTAGCATTATTTGATTCAATCTTGGCGTTAATTCCTAGATCTAAGTAAAGTTTGAGTAGTTAAATAAAAAGGTAAAGGTTTTTAAGTTTGTTTTTGTGAATTTAATTAAACATTGTGTTATAAAAAAAAAGTAAACGACTGTGTAAAATTTTTCAAAAATTTTTCGAAAAAAGGAATGTGGAACAAAATGTTAATTAAATCATTTTAAGTAGGTAGCTATATATAGGTATAGGTAGGTAGGTAGTATTTAAGTTTCTTTAGTTTTTTACTTTTGTCGTATTTTGTGTGTATGTTTCTTGTTATTAAACAATGATTAATGTGTACTGCCGGTGATATTAAAATAAAAATATAATTAAGATTTATTTCCTACTTTAATGTAATTTGGGCATGTTAGGGTTATTGTAACATGCCCAAATTACACAACAAGGGCCTATCAAAACTTGTTAATTAGTGCTTTTCACTACGCTTCGGTTCAAGACAAAATGTAAAGTAGTTATATTTTGACTATAACTGTAACAAACAATTGACAGAATCTATATTTTTTGACCATAATTTTGTAACAAACAATTCACAGAATCTTTAATGATTATATTATTTACCATTCTCATATTATAATGATTATTGACCTTTCTTATCCCAAATTATCTCTACCTAATCAAGTAACATGTACGTCTGGAAAGATAGTGTAGACTTTAGCCAGATCAATTAATTATCTTCAAACAAGGGATTGTCAGTGTTATAAAAAGGATCCTCTCCTCTTAACAGGCAACTTGTAGATACGTATCTACTCGTAATACATAGTTGGAAACCGCTCTCCGTCACACAAGAAACCCTCGACGAAACTCGTACATTGCTTTATTGGTGTCAGCTTTATTGGTGTCAGGAGTGTTGGATCGTATCCTGACAACGAGAACAGTCACGATATTTCTTCTTCTATTTCTACAATAATTCGAGTTTTTCAAATCGTAAATCCGCGAGCACTAAAAGCCGCGACCACGTAGTAGTTCGCCTACACCACACTACTGTGCAAAGAAATCGCTCGTGAATACTTGAATACTACGGCAGTAGCCAGTTGGTGAAATTTGTAGAACCAGTTGAGAATCAGTTGGGAGAACGTCAACTACCGATCGAATTAATTTTTCTTTGTGTTCGACCTTTGTAAAGTGATGGAGTTGTGAAAACAATATTTAAAAGTAAAAAAAAACTGAATGCATCTTATTGCGAATAGGATTATAAATGTTTATGCATAATATTTAGTTATCCACTTATAAACGAGAATATAATTTTGTTTGCATTCAGTAATTTTTTGAATTTTCAAACCGTGTCTTCTTAACTCCACCATTTTGAGTTACGACAATGGGTATTTGGTTGCATGTGCGATGTGGTCATAGAAAATTGTAATAACGCATATGCAATCCTGTGAGGGGGGATTCTCAATACTAAGGAAGCGACATTACGATATGAAGATCGATTCAGGTGCATACGATCTAACGATTTTTTGTATAGGTACTTAAGCAATGACCACCAATAGCGACAAGACCCATAAGCAATAACAAACCTCTTGCACCGTGATATCATCATACGGAGATAACACTAATGCATACCAGGGCTCGATAATGGCAACGTTATCTTGGGATGCATTATATAACCATATGAGAATAGTGAGTAATAGTAGTTTTTGCATCAGTTCAAAGCACATTCCTGGACTGGGCCTCAATCTTAATAGCATCCTGATGATAACTGAAACATATCTTATTAGCTTCCTGACGACATGAAGTCAGAGATAATATAATAATAATAATAATAATAACGCACACACTCAACATAGCCCCGCACTAGGGAAACCCTGTGTCGCGGGTGCCATGGATGTCTATGTGTATAGACAACCACAAATTACACCCAAACTTACGAGAGAAATAAATGTAGGCCATACAAATATTTCTCCCAGCCCGGGAATCGAATTTGGAACCCCTGCGTGGCAGTCCGGCATGGTAACCGGTCGGCCACGGAGGCAGTTAAATGGGAATCGTAAATCCAATTTGTTCTATTAACAGGACAAATAGCAAGAAAAGTAGCAGTAGTCCTGTCAACAGAACTATATAGTGGGAATAAACGATCACCCTGGATTTTGGGCGCTAATGGGTTTTATGGTTTTAACCCGATTAAGTCCGACGATAACAAAGCGCCGGGTGCGCTTGTCCATCTCTGGCTTCATGGGGTTACGAAACACATCATCATCAACACGTTATTTATAAAATATAAACGCTAATTACGGCGCAACACCATTTTTATAGATTCAATTACTTTTGCGGAAAACCAACAAGATCAATAGGTAGTTTTTTTCTGTCAATTTACAGGTTTTAGGAGTCGATACTACCTCAGCTCGAATTCAATTTTTTCCTGTACGGGAATACGGTTCATTTTGCTTGAGTCGAGCGGCAGGGACACTGGCTTAGAATTAATTTTTTCACATCGTATACTAATCAGTGTATTTCCTCAATTTTACAACATATTTTATCCAAAGTGATTGATTCAACACTCACTGTTATCCGGAATCAACCAAAGCCATTTGAGTTTGTATCGACTCTGAAGAATGTGTCTTGAAAATTCATGATGAAACTTTCGGTAAATTAGGCCGAAATTGGAATAGGTATCTGTACTTTTCTTTTTCAAAAAAAAGTATCTTCTGAGCGTGTTTTCACAGTTTTAGAAATCCTAATTGTAACCTAATTGAATATAATAATCCTAATTGAAACGAACTTGGGACTCGCAATCTATCAGTTTCGGTGTACGTATATAATGTTGCAAGCCGTCTTTACTACATTCGCGTCTATAGATATTATATGTATATTGCTTTAGCTACAATACAAATACACTTAAAGAGTTTCGAATACTTTGTAAGAAAAACATTAAAGCTGTCACCATATAGTTAAATATCCTTTCACCGTACAGATCAGTTCAAAAGATTTATAGGCACCGAGATGCTAATATGCACGTTCATATGTAATGTGACCAGCATTATTGTGGTATTTTAATTGATATTTAAAACTAGATAATACTGAATCTATATCTTTTTAATCAATAGAGCTTGTTACATTTTGATAACCACATTCCATCGTAATTGTTATTTTATGTATTTTGTT